ACCTTTGAAGACCCCCTAATCATATTTGGTCAAGGGAGCACACATAATTTTTTATAACAGCACTTCACATATCTAGCTGAGGTCATGTCACTAACAATCACATCAAGAACAGATACCTCGGCCAGATATTTTGACCTGACCCGTGAAAGCCTGCAGCCCCCACCCCCTCAGCCAGATACTGGTGCATTCACAGTGTTTAGAAAACCGCCCAGAAATGAAGGTGCATCCAGCTCAGTTTTCACACCAAGGGGTGCGTGCGTGCACGCGCGCACACACACAAACACACACACACACACACACACTCACTACCCTCAGGAACCAGGAAAAGGAAAAAAACCCACTTTATTCTCAAAATGTATTTTTAAACACTATTTTTCCTGTGCAGCTGTCTGGCCTGATTCCATCATGAAGAGCAGACATTTAAAACAGTATACTAATTTCCTGGGCATGGTGGCACATATCTGTAATCCCAGCACTCGAGAGGCTGAGGCAGGAGGATCATTGCAAGTTCGAGACTAGCCTGGGCTACAAAGTGAGCTCAGGGCCAACCTGAACTGCATAGCAAGACCCCGTCTCAAAAAATACACTAATTAAAAATAAATTATTTTTTAAACTGACCTCAGGTTCAGAATGTGTCAATATTAGAAAGGACCTTCGAATTCATTTATGAAATATTTTTTTGTATGTAGATGAAGAGATGGCACCACAGAGCTGCGTTGCTGGTCACCGATGAACCTCCACTCTGCCGACACAAGGACTCACTGCTGTAATCCGGTGAGCAGTTATGACACCCTATGCCAGTTATCTCACTTGGAATTTTCCGGTGCTTCAGTGGATGGAAGAGGTGTCTCCTCCACATAATACTGAAAACATTAGGTGTCTTGCTTCACACCTCACAGCTAATAACCTCACATTCTTACTTAAAATTCTTCAATGGTTCTTACATTTTGAGACCAAAGGCTTCCTGGTCCCACCTTCACGTCATCCTTGCCTTCTGCCTGGCTCCACCTCCTCAAGGCTCCACCCTCTTCCTGTCCCTCCAGCCCCCTCCACTTGCCACGCTGTGGTGCCCTGTCTTCTCCTCAAGAAGCCACAGGGCAGGGCAGGAGCCCCAGCACCACCGGTAGCTGTGCGGATGAGCCCCATGAACCCCTGAGATTAAGTTTCTTCTCCTGTGAAGTGCAAAGCCCGTACTAATCCACTTCTAGGGTTTCATGTGAGGGTCTCGCTTTGGGCTCAGGACAGACACAGAGACAAGGGAACTGCATGATTCTGGCTGCACTCACATACCAGCACCCTAGTAAAGGGGAATCGCTGACCTTGAATGAGCTGGGCAGGAGCAAATCTACCCATTTACAAGGTCGCATGGCTGCAGCAGCAAAATGGCATGCTATGGAACGCTTCATTAGGGGTCAGATTCCAGCAGTGTATGTGTGTGGGGTCTTCTTTAGTAACTCACTTGAGCGGGTGGCTCAGCCCCGATATCATGAGCGCCAAAATACTTTCTGTTTCAACCTGTGGCCTCAAGGGTGGCCCCTGTATCCCACTAAGTGAGAGAAAGGAAGATTTTAAATGGAGAAGTGGAATAAAATGCTAAAAATCAAGTATATGTGTGTGTGTATGTATGTATTATTTAGAGACAGGGTCTCGCTCTATGGTTCAGCCTGGCCTTGAGCTCACTGTGTAACCCAGGCTGGCCTCAAACTCACAGCGATCCTCCTGCCTCCATCTCCCGACTGCTAGATTTATAGGTGTGTACTACCACGCCCGGCTTCAAGTTTTGTTTTTAAGAAATTGTTACCAACTGATTAAAAAACATATGAAGCATTCATAATGCTTTTGGAACTGATCTGTGTTTTTATTCTTCCATATTATTTCACATAATGAAAATGTTCTTTTTACAATATTCTTAGTCTTTTTCTAATGAGTAGAAATAAACTAGGAAAGAAAAAAGAAAAACAGGGTCTGTCCCAGTCTGTGGGTCCTTCTAGTTCATAGTTTTACTGGTAATCTTTTTTTCATAACTCTGTATTTATTCCCTGTGGATGTGTCCTGCATTCTACTGCCAACCTCTTTTGATGACCATAACAGGATCTTTCTATGAAGGCCCAGTACTGTATCCTGACCGCCCCCACCATCCCAGCCCAGCCAGCAGGAAGGATCATGAGCAGAACAGATGTTCTTGCTTTTCCTGGCTGAGGATTTGAGTTCCTCCCTGTGGATGAGATGCTCTGTTGCTTGGACACCAGAAGCACCTTCCTGATTTCATCAGACAAGATGAGATGTTTGTTTGGGACCTGACCCACATGTCTCACCTTAAGCAAACAAATCAAATGTGCAAATTTAGTGAGCACAATAGACCTGATGTGTGAAATGTACAGTTAAGAAAATTTTATTGGATTGGAAATACTCCATCCTTTTCCTGGTGGCTGTACAACCTCCCGAGAGGATTTTGTAAAAAGAAAATATAAGATCTTAGTAAAAAAAAAAAATCTTCATGTTTTACAAAGGAAACAAAAATGGGAAATTTTGAATGGTATATAATATTTCTCAATAAGAGCTATAAAATGTGTTGCCTCAAAGTAGTGGCAAGATGCTTACTGAAATATGTGGTTTACATAGTTCTTCTAGATGATTCAACCAATACTTTACAAAATTTAACATCCACATGGGGCATCTGAGAATTTTTTTAAAATGTAGTTTCTAACTCAGAAGGTTGGCAGTAGGACTTGAGATAATGCATTTCTGACAAGTTCCATAGACTGCAGATATTGCTGGTCTGTAGGACAAGGATTTATACCATGTTTAAAAGCAATGTTTTTTTCCAAATGTGACTGCTGGATCACTTGCACAGAAATCCCCTGGGTGTTTGTTCTGTTGAAAAAAAAACAATTGAGGGGTGTGGATGTGGCTCAGTGGTAGAGCATTTGCCTAGTGTGTTCAGGGGCCTGGGTTCCATCTCCAGTACTGCAAAAACAAAACAAAACCAGCCCTGTACTTCATCACTGACTCACCAACTCCAGTACCTACAGCAGAAATCCAGGAATCTGTAGTTAAAGTCCTTCTTGGATGATTCTGATTTTTTAACTGACAGATGACAAATACACATATTTATGGTATACAGTACGACAGCTCAATATGTACACACAACCATCCCTTTCTGTTGGCACACTTCAAACACCTCTTCTAGTTCTTTATAAACTATGTAGTAAATTGTAAATTATAGTCATTCTACTGTGTTTAGAACACTGGAACTTGTTCTTCCTGTGTTTTGGTATTGCATATCTCTTTTATACCTATACTTCCTAGCCTCTGGTGACCACTATTCTGTCTTCTGTGAAATCAACTTTCTTAGCTTCCATGTGTAAATGAGAATATGCAGTCTCTGTCTTTCTGTTCCTGGCTTATTTCACTTAATATTATGTCCTCCTGTTCCATGTGTGTTAGCACAAGAGTAATTTCAATCTTTTTTTTTTATAGCTGAATAATATCCTGCTGTGTATATATAAGTTTCCTTATCCATTCTTCTGTCCATGGGCACCCTGACTGATGTCATGCCTTGGCTCTTGTGAGTAATGGTGGAATAAACATGGGAGTGCAGGTATCTCTTTGATATACTGGTCTCATTTCCATTGGATACATACTCAGTAGTGGGATAGCTGGACCACACAGCCGTTCTAAGTTTAGCTTTTTGAGGCACAGATGATTCTTATTAATGCAGAAGTTTAGAAATTGACACTGGATAAGTGACTGCTTTGGGGTAAGTAGGAAACTTGCAATGGAGTGATGAAATTGTTGCATATGATAGAGAAGGTTTGAGTGGGGGTAAATAGGTTCTTGGGTGTCTTCAGCAAGGAAAACTGCCAAACAGCTAAGCAGGGAGGCACACACAGGTTGACAAGTGTGAGCATGTTGGGGACCACAAGCAATAGGAAAGGAGCTTTATGAACATCAACAATGATATTAGACTATTCATTTCTGTTGCCATAGAAACTTTAATCTTCAGTATTGAGTAAACCAACTTTCATTTTTAAAAAATATGATTTGGACAAGTTGCATAAAAGGAAGTTTTTATTCTCTTCTCATTGATTCAATTATCACATCAGAGGAATTTTTATTATCATTTATGTTAGTGGTTCAATTGGTGGTATATCTTACCATTTCATTCTTATATAGTTCCAGGTCTCAGCCTCCAGATCTTGGATAAAGGAGATAAGAATTTGTATACTGAAATGGTTTGGATTTTAAATGTACCCCAAAGCCCATGTGTTAACATCTTGGTCACCACCCTGTGGCATTACTGGGAGGTGGTGAAACCTTTAAGATATGTGGAGCCTTGTGGAAGAAAGTCACTTAATTAGGGTAGGAGCATGCCCTACCCTAATTCTCTCTCTCTCCCTCTCTCTCTCTCTCTCTCTCCCCCACTTTGATCACCATGTGCTCCCTGCCATGATGGTCTGCTTCCCCACAGGCCCCAAAACAATGGAACCAACCAACCATGAACTGAAACCTCAGTAGCCAGGAGCCAAAGCTAAACCTTTCTTCCAAGTTGCCTTGTCTAGGGTATTTGTCACAGCAATGAAAAAACTGACTACCACGTAATAAACAGTAGCTTTTACCAAGAAACTTACATATATGGTAATGCTTTGTTAAAGCTTATACTTATTTGGTAATAGTAATTGCTAACATTCACAGTGTATGTATTATGTGCTTGGAACGATGACAAATAAGTTAAATTTATAATTGCAGTTAATCCTACAGGAAGCCATATGAGCTATGTGCTGTAGTAGCCATGTGAGAAAATAATGTTTGCAAGTATTTCATGGGGTTCTTTTTTTTTTTTTTTTTTGGTTTTTCTCCGGTACCGGGAACTGAACTCATGACCTTGCACTTGCCAGGCAGGCGCTTTGCCGCTGAGCTAAATCCCCAGCCCCTTCATGGGGTTCTTATATTTATATTCTGTAGGGTAAAATCATAAAAAGAGGATTGTTTGCTGGGTCAACTATTTTAATTCAGTATTGTGTACACTTTTCCAGATTGCTTTCCAAAAAAAGCATCACAGTTTGCATTCCCTCCTGGATCTTCAGTAGTACTGAGCAGACATGGCAATTTCAGCAAGCTGTATGTGCTTATCTCTTCCTCCATTTTCTGTGCTCCATTAAACTTCACATGTGCTCTTTATAAATAAACAAATAAAAACAATGCTGTCTTGGTCTGTCTTAATAAAGAATTCAACTTATCCACATGTAATGGAACTACCAAAAAAATTAGCTTCCTTTGATTTATGACTTTCACTTATTTCACTTTTTTTAGTCTCTTGCCTTTCTTTTTTTTTTTTTTTCCTTTCCTTGCTTCAGCCAAATTAGTGGGGTTTCTCACCTTTATTTTCAGAAGTTCTATCCTTTTTTTCTATTTTAGAGGTTACCTTCTCTGTCTTTATTCTCATAAACCAGCTCTTACTTTTCTTCCACCACAAGAGGCCAGCTGCTTCCAGACACACTAAAGCTTCACACTTGTCCATACTTCTGCAATCCACAGGGGCCTCAGGAGCAGAAAAGGGAAAGATATAAAATTGAATGAATCCTTTGTGTACGGTACATCCAAACTTCTTGGACAGCTGCTTATTATCTCATATTTCTTTGGATAAAATTCATTCAATGATCTGGTTCTATCTGCTTCAAGATAAGGACTACAGAGTTGCTTAAAAGTAGGGTAGCAGGAGCAGAACATTTCAAGGACAAATGTCATAGAAAAATGGAAACACAGGCTGGAAAATCACTATGGCAGAATGGTGATGTCTCACATGGAATCCGGCTCCTTCTGCCTTGGTAAAACTGACCATGCCAGACTAAGTATGAGAAAGAAAACTATGCAGGAAATCTGAACAGCAAAAATGTCAGGGAGGAAATGAAGATTTTAATGAAAACCACCCTTAACCTTTAGGAGTATTTTCTTTCAAAGGTGTGTGTGTGTGTGTGTGTGTGTGTGTGTGTGTGTGTGTGTGTGTGTGTGTTTCCGTATTCTTGTTAATTTGACATTTTGGCTCACTGTACGATTTTGATGTAGTTACTTAGAGTCTCTTGAATTTCATCTTCTCTTCTGAAAAATGGAGATAAAAATAGTACTAACTTTACAGATTTGTTATGAGACATAAATAAGGTAAATCAACACCAAATAAATAGTAAATGTTAACGTTTTCCTCCTCCTCTCTTCTTCCATCTCTACTATATGATGACATAACCTTTCTCAGATTGTTTGCCTTGTAGCTTATAGTTATTGAGAGGATAGCAAGAGATAATGACTATAAAGTCCTTCTCATAAAGCATAAGGCTCCCAAATTTATTTCTAGCATAGCGAGTGCCATAGCTTCCACTGTCCTAGAAAGTCAGATGTTTCCTCTTTCAAAAAACACTTGGCTGCCGCACCACCACGTCCACAAGTTAGCTGGATCGTGTGAGGGATACAACAGTATTTAAGACACTCTCCCTCCCCTTCAGTTCTCATAACTGGCTCCTACATTATTCCCTAGGACGACTCCAGATATCAAGTCATACTCTAAAATTAAGCAATTAAGCACTGTGTTATTGGCACAGAAATAAGGAAATAAATCAGTGGAACATATTAGAGGATCCAAAAGTCAACCCTTGTGTATATGGGAATTTAGCTAATGAAAACCATGACTCTACAAATCAGTGGCAAAAGAAATTTCAATAAATAGTGTTGAGAAAATTGGTTATACATTTAACAAAAACCAATGACGCCTTCTTAGCAAAAAGTAAAGATTCCCTCATCTCATATCATGCACAAAAATACACTCTATATGGATTAAAGACAAGAATTTTTTTTAAATTCCAAAATAAAACCCATTATTGGAAGAAAATATAAGTTAATCAATTATTTACTGTCTCATACCAAACTGCCACAAAACTTTAGGACTTTCAAGCTACAGACATTTATTATAGCTCCGCAGCCGACCTGGGTCAGGTGTAGTTTGTTTTGAGGGACTTACTCACAAGTCTACACTCAGCTGGTGGGTGGCCAGCAAGCCGTATATGTAGATGACTTTTCCCACCATTTCTTCTATATCAAACATTGCTAGGTAATGTCATGGGGGAGGGTGACTGGGCCTGTGTCTCTTATCTCCCAATAATCCCTCTGGAGTTTTCAGATAACAGAAGTAGTGTTTCAAAAAAACAGCAAATGAGGCACATTGTCACTTCTACTCCATTCCGTGGGCCAATATGCAGGTCAGAAGCCAAATAATAGGTCCCATCTCTTAATGTGAGAAGCAGTAAAACTGAACTGCAAAGAACACACATCCAAGGAGTAAAAAAAAAAAGATCTTTTTTACAATTTTCTATAATGTCTTTTTTTATGTTTTCAAAATCATTTTCATAAAAATTTAAAACTTAGGAACTATAAAAGATCCTATAAATAAAGTTGAAAGATAAATATCACACTGATTAAAATATGAGCAGACAAAATGTTCCCATTAAAGGATAAAAAGACAATATTCTAATTTTAAAAATAGGCAAAGTCAAAGACAATTAATTCTGTAACCAAGAATACAAACATCAAACATAGTGAAAGATACTCAATCTCTAGTAATACAGAAAAATGAATTTAAAGAAAAACAAAATATTGATCAAGCAATTACACATTAACTGTTCCTTTCAATAAACCAATAAAAATTAGTAGTACAATTATCTTAACTATCGTGTATATATATATATATTTTTTTTCTCTTTCTTATTTCTTTTTCCCTTCATATCTGGTTATCTGAGCAACCACTTGGAAGATAACATTATGTAATATAACAACCATTGTTAATATCCTATCACTTTGTTTTGAAATTCTGTACCATTTTTATTGTTTTTTATTCTTTTCTGCTTATGTATTTGTTTTTGTTATTTTGGATTTTTTTCTTTTTTCTTTAAAATGAAAAACAACATTTATATGTATATACAAGGATAGCTGGGATAGGTGTATTGCTGAGGTCTGTGGTTTATTGAAAGGAACAGTTAATGCTTAAAATTTTCTTTTCCCTTGACCAATTTTGCAAGTTTATATCTGGTAATCAGAATGACTGATTTGAAGACAACAATATGCAATATATAAGAAGCATTGTTGAATTCCTACCGTCTTGTATGGTGAAGCTCTGTATTGTTTCAAATTTTTTTTTTTATTACTTGTTATTGTCTTCAATTGTTTGATCAATCTTTCACTCTTACATCTGGTGGACCGAGCAACTTTGTTGAAGATAATAGTATGTAGTATAGCAACCATTGTTAATTCCTATCATTTTGTTTTGAGGTCATGTATTGTTTTTGTTGTTTGTGTGTTGTTTTTGTTTTTGTCTTCCTTGTTGTTGTTTTGTTAGTTTTTTTCCCTCTTTAAAATAAAAAAAGAAAAACAAAATAATGATAGTCATTGAAGTGACTGGCAAAACCAAAATTGATTCACAGTCTTCCAAGCTCTAGGCATGCAAAGAAATGGATTTCACATACTTTTGGAGTAGGTATAAGCATATAAATCAGCTATATATATCAAAATGTACTTGGCCTGTGGTTACTCTGCTCCAGCAATTTCTCTTCCAGAGATCTCAATGATTGGACAATTATTTATAACTACTGAAAACAACCTAAATAACAAGCAATAGGGAACCAGATAGCCAGTTGATGGCATATCTTATCAATGTCATTATGGGCAATTAGAAAGAATGATATAGATCTCTAGGAACTCCTTTTTTTTTGGTACCAGGAATTGAACTCGAGACCTCATGTTTGCCAGGCAGGTGCTGCACCACTGAGCTAAATCCCCAGCCCCTGTTTATGAACTCTTGAGAAAAATGAGTACAATAGAATGTTAAGTGAAAAATAATAACAATCTGTATCAGATGATCTTTTGATGAAGGATATTATTATTTAAATATCTCCCAGAATTCTTGTATTGGAAACTTAGCCTCCAAAGTCATTAATTATGCCAGTGGTATTTGAGGTGGGGCCTTTGAAAAGTGACTGGGTCCTAGAGGTTCTCCCCTCATGGATGGATCAGTCCATTCACATATTAATGGACTTAAGCCTTAATTGGTTACCTCAAGAATGGAGCCGGTATAAAAGCTAGATTGGCCACCTCTTCCCGAGTGATGCCTGTGTATCCTTGGGACCCTGAAGGAGTCTTTGCCTGCAAGAAGGTCTTCCCCAAAGGGATCTCTCAGCCTCCACAATGATGAGTGGAATAAACCTTTATTCCTTATAAATTATCCAGTCTGCAATATTTAGTTATAGCAACAGTTAATGGACAAAGACAACCACCTTGTTTCAACTTCCAGAATTTTACCCATGTTATTCCTTCTGGCTGGAAATAGTCTCTTAACCATTCTTTTTCCCACATGGCTGACGCTCCTGAACAACCCCCAGGTGACACTCCTCTCCCTCCAGGAGGACTGACAATGTCATCCTTTACACTCCCTGGAACTTACACAATTCTATAAGGGCAGCTATGTGTTTATCTCTTCTCCAACCTAATCAATTTATTTATTTACCCTCTTCTAATACACACACTATACTTAGTCTAAGGAAAAAAGAAGGATTTTTTATAGATTAGAGAAGACCAGGTTTGGAATGTTAGCATATTTTGAGCTGGTTAATATTAAAGGAAACAAAGACAGAAAATACCTTCAGTTTTGTTCCTATGTTTGATGAGAGCAATACCATCCTTCAGGACTCTGAAATATACTTCCCAGCTTTAGGCCTATGACAGCAGTAAGGGACATGTTAGTACTGTATATTAATCTGCAAAAAGCAGACTTACACCCCCGGTGTTTCTAGTGAGGAACAAAAATGGGTTTATTTGGTAGCTCAACTTTAAAAAAATTATATGAGTTAATCTACTGAGACTTTATTTAATTCCCATACTTTATAAAAGTTGGAAGGCACTTAGAGTTTTAAGAGTAAACAAATCTATTTGCCTGAACTATGCCCAGAAAAGTGCAATGGCAGCAAAATTTTAATTCCACAGGGATAGAAAAAATACACTGTCAAGAAAATCTGAGTTAGAAGAGAAGATTGTTGTGAGATGAGGTCACTTTGTGTGCAAAGGAGAAGGAAAAAAGGGAAGGAGGAAGGGAGAGAAAGGAAAGTGGCTGTTTGGCTCTAAGGGAAAAAAATATCACTCATATATAGAATTCCTGGGGCATTGCAGTATATGTGTTTGCCTGGATGTTGAGTCTTAAAGTGTGTGTATTTACATTTTGTTAAAGAGTAACCACCTAGTAATATTCTTTCCAAATTGCCCCGCTTGTAACATTGTATGTAATGATTAAATTTTAAACCACATCCTTCTCTTTCTCTGCTAGGGCAAACCAAAGTATTTTATAAATGTGATCATGCAGGACCTTGTGTCAATTTCTAGGTGTGAGACTGCTTTAAAGCTTCAGGCATAACAGCAATCAAACATGGCATTGGTTGAGGCTACAATTGGAATAATAATACATATAAACCTTATAAGCTCTATTTGACATAAAAATTTCAGCAGTCTAACAACTAAACATGTCAGCATTCTGGAAGCTTTCTGAAAGCATGGGTTTATGGTTTAACACAGTTGAATGAACTCTCCCAAAATGACAGCATCCTAATCTTACACATTGATTACAATGCATCTGATTACATTCCAAATAAACTCTTTCTACAGTGAAATATGACAGATTAGCTGTTGACCTATTGCTTGTAGTCACTCCCAAAGCATGGAGTTAGGTTATTATTTCTTTGCCAAATCAGTATTCCTGGGTATTCTGAGTCCTCTAGGAGTGAAATCTCAGAGAGGCAGAAGGAAGAGTTTTTGGAAGCCATGGCACTGGTCACGGGGCAGTCACAACCTGTCCATATCTGGTGAGGGAGGTGTGCTCTTTATTTCTCAGGAGTTGAGAAATATCATCGAAACATGAGGAAGTACCGCATGAGCGTCCAGCTGAGCAAAGATCTCACACCATTCCATTCACACCTTCGAGAAGGTCTCTGCCAAAAGAGTCTTTAGCCTCAACGGGTCCCAGGAACTCAGCTGCTTGGTAACTATTACAAGGTTAAAACCCATTCTTTCAAGAAATTGCTCATAGATGAGGGCTTCAAAAGCCCCCTTAGCCACTAACTTCCCATAGAGATCTGATCCATTTCAAAGCGTGCACAGCCGTCATGTAAATATTTTTCTCTTCGCTTTGTTACAGTTATCTACATTCTGTGGTTATCACAGGGCAGAACTAGTGTATGTTTTATCCCCTTCATATTTGTCCTTTGTCAGGCTGGTCATGTTCAAAAAGGACCCTCACAGTACCCACCTTCCCACGAACTCCTCCATCTGAGAAAACCAGGAAATTTAGTGGTGCATATAGTTTTTCTCATTTCCTGCCAAATTTTGATAACTCATTAGACAAAGCGAAAAAGTTAATATCCTGGCCTTTGCTTTGGTCTTACTGAGCACGTGTGCTCCAGTAGAAACCTTGCCAGAGATGAGTTTTCGATTCTTCTGTAATGTTTTATCTGGCAAAAGCTTTTCTTTGCCCAGAGCTGAGGTTGGGAGAGGACTGGCCCACAAGTTGGGCTTAAGACATTTTCTCAAGGAAGTCAGCAGTAGCTGGAGTTTTCAGGTCTGAGGCTAATGACTGCTGACCTCGATTCACAGCTCCAACTTGTCTTTCTGCTTCCAACCCTCAGGAAACACCTGAGTTCTAATCATCCCACAATTGGAAGAAGGAAATTTCCCAACCGACTTCAGAACCAAAACTGTCCAAAGCCATGTTAGCTCAGTACATAGAGAACTGGGAATAGCTGTGATGCTTCTGATGCTTTATTTCTATATTTAAGTTCAAATCTTCTTGGGGAGGTACTAAAGAAAGCCTCTTTTATCCAGTGTCAATGAGTAACTTGTAAAATTTACATTGCTTAAATTAAGATGTGTCACGTACATACACCAACTCCTTGTAAGAAATGTAATCATTATATATTAGAAACATGCACTAATAAAAAAAATTAAAACTGAAAACAGAATTTACTTTGCTTGTGGGCTGTCTTCCAGCTCCCACTGCTTTTATAGCCTAAGCCTTTCAACTATTAATCCTGGTTAGCCTTATAGGGGCACCTATTTCTCCCCTTGACTTCCTTATGCCAAGTTATTCTCAAGAATTAAATGTAAACCAAGCATGCTGGAACATGCCTGTAATCCTAGGACTCTAAGAAGCCAAAGCAGGAGAACAACTGCAAGTTCAAGCCCAGCCTGGACAACTTAGTGACTTAGCAAGATCCTGTCTCAAAATAAAAAATAAAAAAAAAGGGATATAGATATAACTTAATTGTCAAGGCCCTGGGTTTACATACATACATACATTTTTAAAGATGTAGTCCCCAAAGTAGCCTTTTATCAGGATCATAACAATTCCTTACCCTTCAGAAGCTTAGAATGAAAATAAATCCAAAGGCAAACTGTGCCTTTCTGCCTGAAAGCACCCTAACTCCCTCTGCAGTGAGTGACACATTCTGGGAGCGTGACCAGTGTTTTCTACAGAATATGGCAACCAGGGAGGAGCATTTGGCTCAGAAGTTCTTCCCCTGCTAGTGCTGGTGGTTCTAAAATTTTGGAAATTCTCAAATGTCCTTGAATTTGGAGGAACATGCAATAAAAAATGTCATTGCTGCTTAACAGAATGTTATAATCCAAGGATACTGCTAGCAGTTCAGTTATGATTATTATTAAGATTCCAGCCCCAGTGATGTGTCAAGAGGGTGGAAGTGGCCTCAGAGTGTAAGATTTGAGGTCTGCTGGTAAAAAGGAGTGGTTCGAGTCCAGTCCCAGTCTGAAAGGAGAAGTCAGCGGCAGAGCTGACCAAGAGCCAGGGGGTCCTCAGGATCCTTAGTCTCACCTGGTAGGAGGCGGGCTTAGATGGTGGTGAGGGACAAGGCAAAGTCTTGCCCAGGCCTGATCCTCCCACAGTTTGATCATAAACGATGTCAGCCTGTTAGGACTGTCTCTGAAGGGTGAAGAACAAAGAAAAGGGCTCTTGCAACCTACAAGCATAAATGTCCATCATTTTACTCCTTGTGTCAGTGAAGTGCTTGAGACCCAAGCACTTCATTTTCTATTCCTCACACAGTAAGCCTAGAATCCTGCATATAGTAGGGCTAGAATCTTGAAATTTGTAAATTCTAAAGCACTTTTATTATATACTGACAAAAATATAAAAGATATATATACAGGGTCATTCACTGGAAAACCATCTAGCAATAAAGGATTAAAAATTACACATACCCTATTAACAGTAAACTGGTTAAAATGGAATATCTACACATTAAAGTAATATGTACCTATAAATATGATCATAATATCTACATGTTACAATGGAGTGATCTCCACATACATAAAGTTAAAAAGCCAGGTGCAAAATAATCTATTAGTATGTAGCCATTTACCTAAGAAAAGGAAGGAAAACAAATGCCTATAAATACTTGTGTATTTTTAAGAAATAATAGCAGGATAAAACAAAAGGTAAAGAACATACCTCAGTCATTTTATATCTTTTTTTTTTTGAGACAGAGTCTTACTATGTATCCCAGGCTGACCCTGAACTTGTGGCAATCCTCCTGCCTCAGCCTCCTCTGTGCTGGAATTACAGGTGTGCACCACCACGCCCAGCATAGTCATTTTACATCTTGATTATACATTGAAATACTAACATTAGGCTATATTGTATGAATAAAATGTCTTATTAAAATTAATTTCATATATTTCTTTTTAGTATTTAGACATTGCTTCTAGAAAATGCAGATTCCATATGTGACTCTTAAATTTCCATGATATAGCATGAGATTGGAGACGGAACCCCACATTACCACACACACTGTATGATCGAAAAATATAGTGTGTGTTTAAATTTCACAGGAAAAGACACATTGCCATTAATTTCCCTCAGAATATTTCCCTTGCGTTTGAGCATGCTTATCGCATCATTCTGCCGCTTTCTGAAACAGTTCTGGAAGTCCTCTTTTGTGAATGTCATTAGTTGAGCTGTCATGGCTGCCTCAGTGTCCCAAATTGATTCAAAATTTTGACTTTAGTGATCGTTTTGACTTTTGGGAAGAGTCAGATGCTGCGAATAAAGCAGATGAGAACACACTGCCTTTGATTATTTATGAACTTGTCTTTCCATTGATGGCACTCGGCAGCAGCATTCACCCTATTTTTGATTACACCTCATAAAGACACACAAGAAAGAGGACTTCAGAACAGCATCCGAAGTGGCAAGAACCATGGGATAGGTGTGTTTAATGGAGAAGTGTTTTGATGGGAATTAATAGCCATGTGCCTTTCTGTAATAAAATTTTGTTTAAACGTTTGCCATATTTACTGATTACCCCTTGCATACTACCTCACCAAAGAAAAGGATACTGGACCTTGGGCAAGAAAATCTTGGTCATTTAAACTAATAAGAATATTTGAAACAAAAATCTGACATTCAAATAAGTTATCTCATGCCCCTACATCTCCTAAGCTGCCATGTTATGCCCATGGGGTCACATACTTCAAGAACAGGAATCAGGAAATAAGGAAACTTTAACATTGAAACATTTGATGACAGAGCTGCCTTTTCTTCAGAATTTAGGATACATGGGCCATGGTATTAGCCTTGACAGCTTAGCCTTCAACCCACAGAGCCACATGTATCTCTGGGAAAATGGAAATAGCAGGTGATATCTTATGAGACCATC